GAGCAAATCTGAACAAAGGACTGTAAGAGGGAAGACAGGCACTCTCTCAAGATGGAAAACACTGAGTTCCTTAAATTAGGGCTGAATGCATCTGAAGACCCTAACTACAGCATGCCCTACTGTGCAAATTAGTGTTCGCACACAGACTGAGTAACAGTCCCAAAAGAGATTCCATTTTCCTATCTAGTTAAGTATTTTATTTTCTTCTCTCACACTGTCTTAAGTACAGTAAAAGTTCTGTTAACCGGCATCTTACAAGCCGGCATGTTCTACTAACTGGCATGCCGGCTTATAAGATAAAGTGAAACCAGAAGAGCCCACTGTGGCACTTCCAGTTTCTCCGAGCCCCCACGGCCCAGGGCAAAGCAGACTGCGCTGCCAAGCCCCCGTGGCCCGGGGGCATAACAGGCTGTACGGGGCTGTGCAGGGCCCACCTCCCTGTTCCGTGGGGCCCGCAGGGCCCATGGGAGGGGTGGCAATGTGGTGCGGTGGGAGAGGTAGAGGGATGCCCCAAATGCAGTGGAAGAAGTGGCAGCCAGGGCCGCTCAATTAACCAGCATATTTTGTCATTCCGGCATCCCCCATTCCCGGGGGATGCCGGATAACAGAGCTTTTACTGTAATACTAAAATATCACATGTCTAGAGAGGCCTGTAAATCCTCCAGCACTCTCCCATGATGATCATCATCCCAAGATTAAAGTGTAGCAACCAACTGGGCTAGCATGGCAAGGTCCATGATACACAGGGAAGTGATCACATTCCAGCCACCTATGATTTCTCAGCCCATATACAGTTCAGTCAATAAGAGACAGCATTCAGCAAAAGTCAAGCACGTGACTTGAGCTCATTTCTATGGATCCACTGCAAGATACCTTAACCACTCTGCCACCGCATCCTTTACTAATCATACCAAAGTGGCTTTAAAAGTACATTTTATAAAAATGTAAGACACTGATATTACAATAAGTGCAAAATACCATACCACGATGTAGGATGACTTAACATTAAAAAAATCATATTGTACAAAGGCCCAGGACTTACTGTCCACAGATCTGGATCAATGTCAGGAAAACAAAAATCCTACACTTTTGCTAGATTGAAGAACTAGTTATCATTTTAAATGTGGACATTTTAAGAATCACAAGAAATGTATGTTCTATCACAGCACTTGTTTTCAGCCCTGGAATATTCCAAGATCTCAGAAATATTACAGTTACATTCTATCATCTTTCTTCCCCTTCCTTTAGTTCCGAAGTAGCATCTGCAACTAGTGTTTGAAAGATGCACACAATTAATGTTTCCATTTGGTGGTTTATGAGACATTAACTGCTGAGATTATAGTAATATGGTAAACTTTATTAAACCCAGGCTTTGAAAAAAAGATTTGAATCCTTATCTATTGTTCATCTACAACTCAAAATAGATAATACTTACTACTTTTCTAGAATCATCTTCAAATTCATGTTTTCTATTTCTTGAAACCTTGTGCTGATGACCACCAGTATCTTCCTTTTCTTTTTCAGCAAAAGACCCTCTACCTGAACTTGAACTATTATCATCCAAATTGGCAGAAGACTCTGCCACCAAAGCTGGTCTATCTGCTTCTTCAACTGAGCTCTTCATTAAATCTTGTTCTGCAACCGTGGTTAAATCAGCCATCTTTGTTAGATTTTATTCCTCTTGTCCCTTTAGTTAAAAGCAACCAGTGTTGTTTTTTTTCATACAAAAATTCTGCAAATCAAAGGAAAGATATTACTTTCAACATACCACAGATACTTATTATAGTAATCTCTTAAGTGTTTCATCATTCAAGTGCTATAAAAGAAAGTTAAATATAGTTGTTTGCTACAGACAATTTACAGTCTAAATATCACAAATGATAAGAATAGGAGATAAAAAGTAACAAGTTCAATCAAGTAATATTTTATTGCAAAAGCTAAATTTACATGAGTTGCTATTCTCTGGTTCATTTTTGTGGCTATTCCTCTATTATACATTTCTTTACTGTTTGTCCTGTATCGTTATCCTGCACATGAGATTTTCATCAACAGAAAGACTATTTCGCACAAGTAACACATTCCCAAATAAGATACAGCAGCTTGTTTCAGAAAGGCAGAATGAAGGAAAAGATCTTTCTCTGAAGATACTGATAGGCAGCAGTAACCAAGGCTAGAAATAGACACGTCAAATGAAGAGGATCAGCTGTGCTGCGATATGGGTGACTAGGCAAAGCACACATACCCCCTTGTTCTATCCTTGATATTGCCACCCGGAGAGCTGGCTGAACAGCAAAGCACTTTTCCCCATTGCCCCAGACACATGGCGTGGGTCAGTGGCAGTAGGGAAATAGGGTTTTCCACACCCAGCCAGCACCAGCAGGCTCAGCAGGGAAAGTGCCACAAAGGTAACAGACATCTGTCACAATAAAGCAGCAGAATCTATTACCACCCCTTCCTGCACCACTGATTTCCCAGTTACGTGTCACAACAAAGGGTAAAGCCATCTTTTTGCTCAGCAGTTGCAGCACCTTAAAAAAACATGAAGGCACCACAAATGAGACATCAGAAGACGTCTGTTCTCAGCGTAAGCAGCAGCTTCTGCAGCATTAGCCTCTGCCAGGGGAAAGAGAAAGTGTCCATGAAGAGCAGCTAGGGAGCCCCTCCGTACTTTACTGTGATGCCTCCTGTGCAGTGTTACTTTTACTTTCCCCGTGCAGAAGCAGAAACTGCTATTACCATATTTTCTCATTTATACCACACACTCCATAGATTCCATAGACATTAGGGCTGGAAGGGACCTTGCAAGATCATCGAGTCCAGCCCCCTGCCCACAATGTACAGCAGCTGAATCTTAGATAACGGGTGCATACGTATACAAGAAAATAAAATAAAATAGAATAAGTAAAATATGAAAACAGAATTTTAAAAATAAATTGTGAGAAAGATCCAGGGCTGGCATAGTAGCTGAGTGTAGCTCATTCTTTCAGTAATCAGTCTTCTTCCTGTTTCATCTCTTTAAAAAGAGATGTGCGCAGTCCTAACTAGGATTGGTAATGGTACAGCCCAGATAGCTCCCTTTTCACTTATGATTAAGGGTATGTTTATCATTACGACCCTTGATAAATCCATGGCATGTCCGTACTTTGAATACCGTACCTGGTTCTGGTCCCTGCACCTCAAAAAAATAGAACTAGAGAAAATTTGGAGAAGGGCAAGAAGGATGATCAGTGGTATGGAGGGTCTTGTTCATGAGGACAAACAAAAGAGGCTAGGCCTATTCAGTTTAGAAAAGAGATGCGGGGGTTTACAACATACTAAATAGCAAAGTGAAATTAAATAGGGATTTATTATTTACTCTCTCACAATGCAAGAACTAGGGGTCATAAAATGAAACTAATAGGGAATACGTTTAAAGCGCCCAAAAAGAAGTTAATTTTCACACCATGTGTAATTAAAGTGTAGAACTTGTTGCTACCAGATGTTGTGGAACCTAACAGTTAGGCTAGATTCAAAAAGGGATTGGACAAATTCTTGGAGGAAAGGGGGATCTGTAGCTATTGAGCACGGGAGTTAGGGTTACAGCCTCCAAATCAGAGCTTCCTGGACCTCAAATGCTAGAGGCTGCAAGTGAGAGAGAAATAACAATGGGGAAAAAAAAACCCCAATGCCAAAAAAATGGCAATTCTTATGTAATCTGCCTCCGTGCCACACATGAAAACACTGTAGTGAAGCATACCTTGTCTACTCACTCCCACTAAGGCGTACTCCAAAGCCCAGAAACAAAGCCATGTACCTGCTGTAGAAAGGCTAAGAGCAGTTACCCTTTATACTAGCTCCTCTGCTTCATTTCTGGAACGTACTGAAGGGCACAGGTGGGGCTGTGCCTCTGTACGGTAACCCCTGCGGCACTGCGTCCCAGCTCCCCCATGCCCCTGGAATTGTACGATGACCCCCCAGCCACATCCTGCCTGGCTCCAAACGCCTGTGGTCAGGGCGTGGAAACTCATGGGGCATCTCTGCCTCACGGAGCAAGGAAACAAAGCGAAGGGGTACTGAGCGGGAGAGGGCACCTTGGGAACCGAGTCTGCCCCTCACCCCATGAGGCAAGTGCTGTGGGCCTGACTAGTGGATGGATGACACTGGGGCAGGGGGCGGCAGTGGTGGCGCCACAACTCAGACTCCATTGAGGACCCCTTGCCAGGCTCTGGCTCCAGCAGAGACGCGCACCTTGAGGACAAACCACACAAGGGACACACAAGCTTCCGTGAAGCTTGCAGCTTGCTCGCCACAGGGTAGCGCTGGCTGCACAGGATCTCCAGAGGGTCTGCAGGCGGGGAGCTGGGGAGCCTGAGGCCATGCACAGGGCAGCCCAGGGAGGACACAACCCCCACCCCGCATTGTTGTGCAATGGGGGGAGGGGCCACGGGAGGGGCGGCCCCACAGGCCCACGCGCGAGGTGGGGGCTGACTTTGTGACGTCACGGTGAGTCTAGTGGGTGAGGGGCGGGCAACTCTTCCCCTGCCCCCTTGCGCAGCCGCAGAAGAGGCCCTCCAGAGCAGCTGCGACAATTAGAGCATCGGCATCGACCCCGCTCCCATCCCCCCATTTCTGCCATGCCCGCCGCGCCCCCACCCCCTTCCAGCCCTCCGATTGGCCCGAGCGGAGCTGCCCCGCGCCGCGCTCACCTAGCGGGCTCCGCCGACATTCTGTTTGCGGAAGTGACGCGCGCCGAATGCGCACGTTACACGCGTCACCACCGCTGGGGAGTGGGGGCCAATGGGAGGTATGCGGAGGGGGAGGGCCCCGGCCGCACGCCCTGGACGTCACTCGGGCTGTGCCGGACTACCAGGAGGCTTTGCGCGGGGCATGCGCAGCGCGGTCAGCTGGGGGGCGGGGTGTGGCTGGTATTGGCGCATGTTCCTCTGGCTCGGGGGCCCAGGCGCGCCTGCTCACGCGGGAGCTCGGGCAGGACCGACGGCGTCTCCGGCAGGTACAGACCGCAGCGGCTGCCCTCCCGTCTCACTGGCCAGGGCCTGTGGCGGGGTGTGTCGGGAGTCCCGCGGGCGCCGGACCCAACCCCCAGCCCGTTCGCTCGGTCTCGTAGCGCGGGAGGCAGCAGCCCGGCCCCGCGCGCGCGCTCGCTCGCTCGCTCTTCTCCGTCCCTCTCTGGGCCTGCCCCGCCTGTCCCCGGGGAAGGAGAAAAGGCTCCACCCTGGGGCGAGCCCCGTGCGGGAGGCCGCGCACCGGGTCTTCAATGCGGAAGGATCGTATTGGAAGCTCCAAATGATCCTCTTTGCTGGAAAACTACCGTAGGCTGAGAAAAAAAATGCAAATAAATCTTTACTTTCCGTTGCTCGCTGTAACTTGCCACTGAGCGAGTGAGAGAGACCTGGGGCGTCCAAGTTGAAGCATTTCTCTATTACAGTGCTGATGGCAAACCCCAAAGTCAGTTAAGACTCTCTGAGAGTGACTTAAGTTTTGCGGGTGCTGCATCAGTGAGCGGCCTCAAAAACGATCGCATGCTTTGAACACTTTTACTGTTCTTGATCGTACGTCGTACAAGGGTTGAAACGATTGTACGAATATGGTGATTATCATACACTGGGTAACGCTGGTGGGAGTCATCGTTTCGCGGAAGCCTTTGTTCTGGTGACTCTGGTAAGTTGGCCGTTTAGCCTCCTTTAGCTACTGCCTTTTCTCAGGTGGTGAGCCTCCAGCTTGAAACAAAATCTGCCTCTGGCTTTCTTCCTGCCTGGTCCCTACTGGGCCCAGTTGAGATTTTGGGGAATTTTCATCCTGCACCGTCGTGCCTCATCTGCCCCTTCTTATTTCCCCAGAGCCACAGCAGAAGTGGCAGCTAAAACTGAATACGACAGGGCGGATTATGCCAACTGCCCAAGTTGGTCTGTGGGAATTTCTTAGTCATCTGTTAGTAGTAATGAGGGGACGTGACATGTCTAAGGATCAGATTGAGGGCAGCAGCCTCATTGTTGTCTCTGTTCAGCCTGATGACCTTCCCACTTTGCAACGTGGGTGCGAGCTCAACCACTGAGCAGTAGCAGCGCTCCAAAGGCCTGCCTGGCCATGGCAGGGCGGCCATATTTCCCCCAACCCTGCAGCTTTCTAAGGTAGAGTCCTAGTGTCCCATCTTTCTGTACCTCTAAGTGTATCCCCAAATGTCCTAGTGGCTCACATGAGTCAGGGTCATTTTGTGAATCCTGGAGGGGAGAACTCTGCACTGATGTGGTCATAGTAATTTGAATACAGGTTTCCCTCGCTTTATGTGGATTCTGTGTGCTAATTTGCTTTTATGCAATGACCCTTTTTATACCAAGAATTCTTTATGTGCAAGGTAAATTCACTCTTATGCGATTGTTGTGGTGGAAGCCTGCAGTCAGCTGCTTTGTGCGGTGCATTGTGGGAGTGACGCGCACTAAAATATAGTCTCCTGTATGGATCTGTGCTCCTTGCCTGTTATCTGCGATATGTGTTTCTGTAGTTGCCATCCATATTATGATAGTGCTCTGTGCTTGTGTGTACTGTCTGCTGTTGGTGAATACCAAAATTGTCTTGTAAAAGTGGTAGAAATGGGTCTGTGGGTCAGTACAGTCGAGTTCTTGAAGCCTATCCCTATTTGTTACATTGTAAAGTGGGTTACCTTTATGCGAATTCAAGTTATGCATGTTTTCTAGGAATGCATGTATAGCATAAAGCAAGTGAAATCTTATATGTCTTTGTGGTGTGGCTGTTCTCACCTGTGCCTGGTTAACCTGGGTGCCCAGACCTAAATGCTAGTGGCCAGAGTTAATTGCAGTGAAAATATCCTTTATCCTTGCATCTTTTCATGAAATCCTTCTCCCTTATGCTATTCCCCAGAGCTCTCCTTTCTCCCCTCCTGCATTGTTTTATTGGTAATACTGATGACTAGTAATACTCTTAACAAGGTGGGGGTAACCTTTATGAAAGGCATGCTGCAAACTAGCCCTGCACCCCCCTGGATGCCACTCTTAACTCCCTTCTGCTACCCAGTCTGCTGCTCTGCTTTCTGTTTCCTTCCCTGTGTTCCTTGCCTCATCTGCTGCTCTCTTTCTGCCTTCTGCTTTCCTGCCCTCTCTGCCACTGTTGCTTCCTGCTATTGATCTGCTCTGTACCACACAGGCTGCAGGTTGCCCACCACTGCTTTAACAAGTGCCACATGCTCTTATTTTCGCTCACTGGAGAACCAGAGACTTGATTCTTCCTCCTGCAGTACAAGGTTGAAACCTCAAAATGGCGGGGGGAACTAGTTAGCTAAACAACATGTGCGAGTCAGCCTATTTGGGTAGGAGTCATTTTCCTGGCTTGCTTTCTGGACTTGTCCTTGAGAGAGAGACTTCCGTAATGCTCATGCCTGGTACGCATGAATTATTAACACTTTTATGGAGATAATTACATCAGAAAAAATAGTTATGCCAGTAAAAGTCCTGGTGTATGTGCTTTTATTACCAGCATAATGCCACCTGTATGAGGAATGCTTGAGGTTGCAGGGAAAGATTTAATTCTAATCCAGCAGTTTATATAACCACAGCAAGAAGTGAACATTTCACTTTTTGGTTTCTTTTCCTTCTCGAGGTGCAAAGTGGTAGGACAAAGGGCCCCCTGTTTTCTGCACATCTTTCAAAGATCAGACGCATGGATCTTCTCATTAGTGAGTTGCTGCGTTTTCTTTCTCCTAACAGCCACCAGCTCTGCTTTTAATCAGAATGTTTTGGATTCCAAGAAGGGAATGGGAATCAAAATGGGCTCCCATATGGCAAAAATCAGAGTGGTCAGCCTAGTTTGTGCTGCAGTTAAAGCATTCCTAGACCTCCATAGTTATTGGAGAGGACCAGCATGTTTTGCAGGAAGAAAGTGGGGAAGCTTCCAAGAAGGCAAGTTCTCTCCTTGCAGCTTAAACCAGGGCTGTCTTTAAGGAGAGAGGCAGGGTAGATTTGCACCTTGTACACTAATTAGACCTCGTCAGACTGCCACAGGGTATAACACATAGGGGAAAGTGAGAAGTCCACAGGGAGACGTGTGAAAACTGCATCAGAAAGGTGTTGGTGTGCAGCATTGGAATCCACAGTATGAATTACACTAAGAAAAGTTGATGGTAAATCATGCAACTGTTTTCCCTAGATCCATAGATTTGGGCAATACTGATGGCTTCTGGTATAATAGAGAAAGTACAGGTAAGTGCTGTTATATTTATTATGAGTGATTTTAGTGCTGTCTTGTGTTCCACTTCACTGAGGCGGAAAAGAAAAATGCAGTAAATTGAAAGAGGCTTTTGGCCATTTCCTAGGCAGACATAATGTTATATATAAAACAACTAGCATGAGAGGTGCTAAGAGAAAGGGAAAACAGTTCCAAGTTTCATTACTTCAGTTCAGTCTTGTTGTATACCATAGGTACTAAATGTTAACAAAAGAAATAAATTGCCGCACAGTTACTGGCGTAAGAGACACTAATTTATGAATACAGCTTCAGCTTTACCCAACTGTACTCTCAAGTGCAAGTGAGAATGCAGGAAGCCATAAAGGGAAAGCAATGTGATTTGTATGGTGACAGCATATAGGAGACTATTACATAATGCTGATTATGACAAAAGTGAAAAGAGTAGTCAAACCAAATTTGACATAAGCACAGTTAAGGATTTTAATGCATTTTAATAAGGGAATAAGGGAAAAGCTATAGAAGACGGCAAACACAAATCCAAATGATCAGAACCTCATATTAAAAATGTATGCTGAGACTCCAGTGACTGTAATTCCAACAAAAGTTATAACGGAGCCAGAATGGAGATCTGTAGAGACCAAATTAGACTCTATATAGGATTACTAATGCTACATTACATGTTTACAGCTAGTTCTTTAGGAAACTGAACAAGTTATAGGAAGTTCTTCACCATATTAAATGTAGAAACAAGCGCTCTTGTTAGGGTTGCCAAGGACTACACCAGTTGGAGCAAGTTGAATGCATCAGTGGCAAAAAGCAAACTACATGAGGTAGCCACATATGTTCACAGGGTTAAGAAACCTGTTAAGGGAAAGCCATCAGCAACTTGCTTTGTTACAGCTTCATTTTGTATCACTATACCCTTGCTAGGGAAAGCAAACAAAATAAATCCCATACCTTCCATTCTCATTATTTTTCTGATAGAAGAACCTTTGGACACATATACAAGGATGAGAGAAGCCTAAAGCAAAAATCCACATTTGGTTGAACTAGAGGTGCACCGATATATCGGTTGCCTATTGGACGAGCACTGATAAAAGGGAAATGACATTATCGGCTTTTTTTGGCTATTGTAGCCAATAATGTTTACCAAAAATTATGCCTTCTGGCCAGGGCCCCAGATACCTGGGTTCCCTCCTGCAAGCTGGGGTGACCTTGAGCACAGAGGGCCCAATCCATTTTCCATCCTCGCCCCCATCCCCTTGCTGGGCTGGAGCAGAGCAGAGTAGCTGGGGCAGTATCCCAGCATCTGGAGTCATGTGGACTGCAGGCTGGGGCTGGGGTGGGTTCTGTAAAAGGCAGCAAGTGCTACAGAGACATGACTGGGGCAGGGAGGGGCAGGTGGAGCCCAGCATACTTCAGCCCACAGTGCCCAGGGGTCTGTGCCCCAGGAGCTGGAGACAGAGCCTGGCAGGGGCCGAGGCAGCTGCTCTCCCCACCTCTGCTGCATGCAGCAGGGTCCTCCCTTGACAGCTCTGCCCACCCAGATCCTGACCTGCCCAGGGCAGGGTCCATTCAGCTTCCCCAGCAAGGCACAGGGGCTTGTCCTGCCCCTGGCAGCTGGAGAACCAGGAGGAGAAGAGGCCCTTACCCTGCTGGAATCCAGCTCCCAGTACCTGGAGCCTGACTACAGGGGAGGAGTGGCCCAGTTTCCCCAGGCCTGAAATGGTCCCATGGCCTTACCCTGGGCTGAGGCAAGAGAGCCAGGGAGCCTGGCCCAGAGACCACCCAGCACTGGGCAGCCAGGAAGGCTCACACCTTGCCCCTCAGCCCTGCTGGGCAGGATCAGGCAGCTGCCTGCAGGCTAGGGTTCAAGGGCATCATGCAGAAGAGCAGGAACTGAAGGGCTCTGCACAGCCAGTCATAGGCACTGCTAGGCCAGCCCCACATGCTGCAACTGGCACAGGCACTTTTACACATGCTCCAACAGTTGCTGTAATTAAAGTGCCACAGTGTCTCGTGTATCAGCATCCTTGCACATAAAAATGGTGGCGGGGGCACTTTGAACTAAAGCTTGTTTTACAAGCTTTAGTTCAGGCGTTCCCACCACCATTTTTAAGAGCAGGGACGGAAATGTACGAGAGACAGGAGGCTGCTGGAGTGTGCCAAAAAGAAAAGGTTTATACATGTCAGTATTTTAAAGTGCCTTTCATAGTTTCATAGTAGCTAGGGTCAGGAGGGACCTGAACAGATCATCTAGCCTGACCCCCTGCCACAGGCAGGGATGAATGCTGGGG